CTTTGTGGCTGCACTCAGTTATATACGTTAGCACTATGTTTGACACCTATTATGTAATGCTGTAGCACTTCCTTTGTTGTTCACACTTTTAATTAATTATGCTGTTATAAAATGTTCTATTTTTGTACACAGTACCCTCAGTTCCGATACTATTCACTGATGAGCGGAACACGAAAATCGATTTTGAATAACATAAAAATCCTTAAAAATTCCATGAACTCGTTGTTGTCTGGCCATGTCTGCATCGATTATACTCCTAATTGCACTAATAATAATAATGTAAAAGTAACGTACTGTTAGAAATACAATTCAAAGACACGGTTGGCAAACCTCTCGTTCTTATGTGAATAGGAATATCATTCATATTCTCTCCTCCATTTTCTCATATTCCCTTTGCTTGCAAGTTGCAACTCTGTCTAGTATGATGACGTCACTGAGACGTCTACATTCTGTTAAGTCAACCAGACTACATACAGTCCCCAGGTCTACAGCCATTTCACAATGAATGAAACAGATTCATTGTGTACTACAAGTAGAGCTATCACCCGCGCATTACGTTTGCGGCAAATGTTTTCCTGTTCTCGCCTGGCTTCCCCATACACGTACAATGTATTAAAAAAAAGTAAAGCGAACTATTGGTGACGTCGACAACTAGCGTGTGCAGTGCCTGCTTCTGTTAGTGTTATCACTGTGGAAGTTTTTTTTTAATTGTTTTTAGGTGCTAGTAGCACATGCATTGGCTTCCTGATACATGTATCGCCACCGGGTTCTGGAACTCAAATTAATTCCCAGTGCAGGCCTCAACAGTGGGATTTGGGGGACGGGGGCGAGAGTGTCAGCTAAACAATTTGGTCGCCTGCATGCTGACTGTTACATCCGACAGGATGAAAGATCTGCTGTGTACATGTACATGTATAGGCTAAGGGTTTTTTTTGTTTTTGTTTTTTTTAGGCTATTAATTAAAGGTCGGTGTTCTCATCTTTGTCATGTGACTAAAGTCGTTTAGAAACTACTACAGTAAAAGTTACTTTGTTGAAAGTGATCATGGCATGTGGACTGAGTGTAGCCAGTACGGCCGACATCACGTGACCCATAGATGTAGGAGTTGAGTGGTATTGGAACCAACATGGCTGTCCTGTTTTGGTCGTGTGATAGGTGTCTTCGGTGCTCTGCGCCCTGCCTGTTGAGCACTGTTCCCGCAGTTTCCTGAAACGTTCCTTCGTGCAGTACAGCACTGTATACATGTATGTAGTACGAGGAGGAAAACTTCCTTCTGCCAGCGGAGAGGGCTCAACACAATAGTTTGGAGCACTATTACACACACAAGAGACTTTGAGTTGCGACAAATCTGTAAACCTCCGTTGTGCCTTTGTTGTTGTTGTTGTTTGGCTTTATTTAGAGTGCAGTTCCAAAACAGGCCTAAACCTAATGACAATGGTCCCACTGATAATAAGGCAAAAGAAAAAGAAAAAGAAATAAAAAATGAGCGGTTTGTGTGTACTTGTATGTACTATGATGTATTTCTTATCTATATTTTTTCAGTTTCCTCTGAGACAAAAATGCGATAATACTCATAAAAAGGACACACTTCAGGCTCATTACAAACATCTTGAAAGTTTTTGTCTTCACAAGTATACTTTCAAGCCTTCTCATCAGGTGAAATACAGGCAAGAGAAAAGGAACAGGAACAGTGGATTAAATACAGTAAGAAGGTGGTAAAACAGCGCAAAAAGAAAGAAAGAAAGAAAGAAGATAGCTAAAGTAAACAGCGAAAATTGCAATAATGACACAAAGGTGCAAATGCGAGAAAACTCAATAAGCGCGACATGTAGTGCGACAACAAGAGACAACCACTGGACATACATGTAACTAACGAGGTTTTGACGACCTACCTAACAGCCTAAGTGTGAATTTGATTTGTTTCTGTTTGCAAAGGTTGGGTTTCCTTGTGTGGATGTATACAGCTTCCAAAACATTCAGCAATCTAGCACTGCGTACACGTGACACAATCGAAAAACAATCATCCGAATACACAGCACGACAATCAGGATGCTCAAACAAATGACTAGCAATGGACGACTCATACTTATCAGAACTAACATCAGAACAATCAGCATGTGCGGTGGACACATCCGATTTCACATGGCTAGTCGAGTGGACCCTAGCCGTTGCCTCTGTCTGTGCTTTAGTCGCTGCCATCGCCGCCGTTGCCGATCTTGTTATTCTTCTGGTTGATGTGGTTCCTGTCACTGCCACGCACGTAGGTGTCTTGTCCGGTTGTTGCCTCTAAGTTTGTTAAGTTAGGTCCCGTCGAGTCACATGATCGTACCTCTATAATTGAAGATAAATTATGCGCCTTTCTTGATAGGTTGGTTGGGTCGAAGGAACTGATTGACTATGAGGCTAAGCTGCTTAAGCCTTTGGGTTCAGCTCGCCCTAGAATGTATGGCTTACCGAAGATTCATAAGAGGGATTGTCCTGTCCGGCCCATCCTTTCTATGTTAGGTTCTCCCCAGTATAAGATTTCTCGCTGGCTGTGTAGAATGTTGCAACCCGTTTTAGAATTATACAGTCGGTATGTAGTTCGCGATAGTTTTCAATTTGTCGATATTCTGCGCGACCACTCCTTCCCCGATACCTATGTTATGTGCTCTTACGATGTTGTTAGTCTGTTCACAAATGTCCCTTTGGATAAAGTCATTGATATTTGCTGCGAAACGCTATATCATCGCTCACTATGTCCGCCTGGCGAGTTACGTGAAGATTCGTTCCGCGAAATGATCCGCTTGGTAACGTCAGGTGTGGAGTTTTCCTTTGATGGTGTCATGTATCGACAGATTGATGGTGTTGCTATGGGTTCGCCCCTTGGTCCTGTTTTGGCAAATATATTTGTTGGTTATTACGAATGTCAGATTCCGGTTAGTTTGATGCCCCCATTGTATGTGAGATTTGTCGATGATTCTTTCTCGTATTTTCAGTCTGAGGCTCAGTGCCTCCAATTTCGTGATCTGCTGAGGAAGGTTGTTGATGGTATGTTGGATTTCACGTGTGAATTTGAGGAGTCAGATCGTCTACCTTTTCTTGATGTGCTCGTTGAGAAGTCAATTGATGGTGGTGTTGTCACGTCGGTCTATCGCAAGCCTACGTTCACTGGCTTGTACATTGTTTGGGATTCGTTTTGCGCGACACTGTATAAGATCAATTTGTTGCGTAATTTGGTGGATCGTGCACGTCGCCTTTGTTCGTCTTCAAGGTTGGAGCAGGAGTTGGAGAAGTTACGTGCGCTTTTTCGTCTCAATGGATACCCCGAGTCTGTTATTGTGAAGTATGTAACTGAGACCAGTCCAAAGAAGAATGCTGAAGTTTCCGCTAATCCAGTATACCTATGTTTACCGTGGAAGGGCGAGTCAGTATCACGTATGGTTCAGCGTCGGGTTAAGTCTGCCGTGGAGTCCAATTACCATAATGTTCATATTCGCTTCATCTACTCCACGGTGCGTGCGTTCACGGTGAGGAAGGACGTCCTACCTACAGGCCAATTATCCAAGTTGATTTATCACTTCGAGTGTCGGCAATGTGAGAGCCGATATGTGGGTAGGACTCTTCAACATCTGGACGCACGCATCCGACAACACGCACCGCTACACCTTATTCCACAACACGCACGATCCACTCGACCACGGAGGGGACGTCCAGCAAAGAATCATCCTGGTACAAGATGGTCCAACGCAGCGGCATCAACACCAAGGAACGTCACCTCACAATTAACTAGACCACCAGAAAAACAACCGGACAAGACACCTACGTGCGTGGCAGTGACAGGAACCACATCAACCAGAAGAATAACAAGATCGGCAACGGCGGCGATGGCAGCGACTAAAGCACAGACAGAGGCAACGGCTAGGGTCCACTCGACTAGCCATGTGAAATCGGATGTGTCCACCGCACATGCTGATTGTTCTGATGTTAGTTCTGATAAGTATGAGTCGTCCATTGCTAGTCATTTGTTTGAGCATCCTGATTGTCGTGCTGTGTATTCGGATGATTGTTTTTCGATTGTGTCACGTGTACGCAGTGCTAGATTGCTGAATGTTTTGGAAGCTGTATACATCCACACAAGGAAACCCAACCTTTGCAAACAGAAACAAATCAAATTCACACTTAGGCTGTTAGGTAGGTCGTCAAAACCTCGTTAGTTACATGTATGTCCAGTGGTTGTCTCTTGTTGTCGCACTACATGTCGCGCTTATTGAGTTTTCTCGCATTTGCACCTTTGTGTCATTATTGCAATTTTCGCTGTTTACTTTAGCTATCTTC